TGCTCCCCACTCTGTCTCTGGTGAATCTTCTCACCCTCCACATCTCTGGCTTGTACCCCAGTTCCATATGAATAAATAAATAAATTTAAAAAAAAAAAAAGCATATTGTCAGGACTCTCATCTTTACACATTTTGGTTGTAGCCACTATTTTAACTTAGAGACACAAATGTCAAAATACATACACACAAAGGAAATAAACAAGTGGATGACTATTATATATACAGGCTTGAAATTCCTTTAATCAACACTACTTTTAATTTGGAAAACTACAACTTTAAAGCGTAGTTACAAAATCAAGTTATCAGTGATACTCACAGGTCGTTCCACATACAGACTTTTCCTTCCCTTCGAGCAAGTCCCACAGGTGAATGGAGGCATGTTCATACTGCTCATTCAACCTTGTAAAAATAAAATGAAAGAAGCTAATGTAATCATCTTTCAGTTGTCAACTACATTTAGAAGTTTCTATTATTAAAAGCAACTATATACCTCAAACTCATGTCTCGTTCAGGGTCTGCTAATTTGTAGAATTCGTCTAACAGTGACAATTCCTCTTCAGACAATATTGGCACTCCATTTAAACCTTGTTTCAAGTCAGTTCGCACTTCATCATCTCCCAATTTGTCCAATACATACTGCAATTCAAGTACGGTTTTTAAACGTTTCTGTTCAGCTTCCTCTCTCATAAGCTGTTCTCGACGTGCTGTCTTCTTTATTGTTTTCTGAATCTGCATTGAGAACATAAACACAGCACAGAGAAACTTTACAAAATTTATCAATTTCAGGTCTAGTGTTATTAATGCGTATTTTGCTTAGTTGAGTTAGATGTGACTCTAATAAACAAAAGAATGAGTCCCAAATTACAAAGTTTAAAACATAATGTCCTTTAAGCAGTTTTTACAAATTCAAACCACATCCTTCCCTAGGAGATATTACACTACTGAAATCTTACTGATGAAAGCATACATTTGGGATTTATTTGAAAATATTCTAAATAAGGCCCTCCTTGGAGGCACAACAGGTTAAAGCACAGCACTACAAAGCCAGCAGCAGCCACTTCAGCACAAGTTCAATCCCCGGCCAGGGAGGTGACCCACATGGCATGGCAGACCTCTCTCTCCTGTCTCGCCTGCTGCTTCCCTCAGCAGTGTACTTCAGGTGATCTGTCTGTTCTGCTCCCCACTCTGTCTCTGGAGAATCCTCTCACCAACCCCTCACCAGCCTGTACCTCAGTTCTTGTATGCATAAGTGCATAAGTAAATAAATCTTTTTTTAAAAATTCCTAATAGAGAAGTAAGGAATATGAGAACATGGGGGGGGGTCATTAAATTCTTTAGTAATAAGTCAAAAATTTTTATTAAAACCCTGATCAGAAAAAAAATCAAGCAACAAGAAAATATTATCCAAATCTATCTACTACATGGAAAAATGGACTACAGTTCCAATGTTAATTATCTACTACTAATTAAAAAGGAGATGCCAAAGCCCACCAGTGCCTCCTCAGCCCAAACAATCCAATGTTACTATAATAAGGCTTCCCAAGATATTGATAATAGCAGCCAAAAACTTTTTACAAAGAAGGGATGCTAGCAGAGAAAAAGGAGGCAGAAAAGACAGACAAGGTAAGTGTAGGAATATATTTTTTCTATTATTTTTTTTCTGCTAATTCTTTTTCTTCCTTAGGACTACTGAAAGAATATACATGAAAATCAAGATACACTTGCAGGGGTAGGACAGAAGAAAGATCAGTCAGTCACAAGTGTTTTCTTTTTCTCTCACCTCATAATTAAAGGCCCAATGTAAAGCTCCCAGAAAACACCAGTATTGAAACTGAAGCAAGAAAGGATATATTTTAATTTATACAATGAGACAGTAGCTTCAGTATCAAATTTTTTGATACCATTCAGTATCAAATTTTTATAGCAATCCTACTTTTTTTTAAAAAAGATTTATTTATGCATATAGAACTGAGATACAGGCCAAAAGTGCAGGGGCAGTGAAAGGATTCATCAGAGACAGAGTGGGGAGCAGAACAGGCAGATCAACTGAAATACAATGAGGGGAGCAGGGAGCGAAACGGGAGAGGTCTGCTGTGCCATGTGTGGGTCACCTCCCTGGCTGGGGATCGAAGTCAAGCTGAAACAGCTGTGGCTGGCTAGCTTTGAAGTGCTGTGCTGTATCAACCCAGTGCTCCACCAGGGAGGCCCGCAATCCTACTTCTATGACCCATATTTCTCATAATAATTAATAAATCACAAGTAGAAGAATGTAATGTTCATTAAGCCCGAGGCTCTAATCTAACAAGCTAAGTGGAACAAATCTCTACTTGAACCCTAAATTAAGTTTCCTTTATGTCTGTTTTGAGGGATATCATCAGCATTTTCCACCTTAGTCATATTTTGTTAAGTAACTATAATGTTAAGTACATATATGTTAGTTATTTGTCAAGTACTGTTCTAAATAAAATTCTATGATGAGGTAGATACTATTATTAGTGCCACTTTACAGATTAGAAAGTGAAACTGATAGAAAGCCTTTCCTCCCTCTCTCATCCTTCTCTATCTTCTGGTTGTTTTCTGGAAATCTGACTGAGAAGGAATAAAGAAGTTAATGGACTCAACCAAATTCATATAGTATTAAGGTAAAAGTGGAAAAATCATATTCAACCATGCAATCTGGTTCTAGAATCCAAACTTTTCATCTGTGCACAGTTTTTCATCCCATAATAAACTGTGTTGTTTATTTATCTCACCAAATTGAGACTTGATATGTCAAGTGTTGTTGACCTTTCTCCAAATAAGCTACAATTAATACAGTAGATTATTAATTTTCTGTTCTCAACTATCAAGAATTTGACTTTGCTTATATTTAATTTGGCCTGGTCCCAAAGACTTTTGCCATTATCAAAAGATGTATGAAAAATTATTACTTTGTGGAATCAAGAGGAAATTATCAGTCTGCAGCATCCCTTAAGATCTCTTATTAAGTGCCCTCCTTAGTGGCCTAACAGGTTAAGTGCAGCACTCTGAAGCTACCCCACAGCCACTGCACCACTGAGTTCAATCCCTGGGCCAAGGAGTTGACCAACATGACCCGCCCATGCTCCCCTCAGCAGTGTATTTCAGTAGGTCTGCCTGTTTTGCTCCCCACTCTGTCTCTACTGAGACTCACTGCCCCCACACCTCTGCCTTGTACCCCAATTAGCAAAAGATTTATAGAAAGAGAAACCTTTGGAACAACAGTGTGTTGAGAATGTAAACGACCCATCCCCAATGGAAAAAAGTATAGAAATGTCTCAAAGTATTAAAAATAGACCTGCAATATGATCCAGCAACTCTACTAGGTATCTAGACAAAAAATACAAATCACTAATTCAAAGGGATATATGCACTTCTATGTTCACTGCAGTACTATTTACAATAGTCAAAAGTATGGAAACAAAAATGAGTAGATGAAGATGTGGTATATATACGCAAGGGAATACTGCTTGACTACAATGAAAAGATGGATTAGGCTAAACAGAAATAAGTCAAAAAAATAACAACAAATAGAGGGTGATATACTCTCATATGAAATATAAAGGAGTAAAACATAACTAAAACAAAATAAACCCTAGAAATCTGACAGACGAACTGAGGCTAGCAGAAGGGGAGGGAATTTGAGGAGTAAATGATGGAGAGCCCCACTGGACTATGGCAGAGGGAATGGCGTGGCAACATACAACTAAAGAGGTATGAACCTATACCCCTAAATCACAGAGTTGTAAAATAAAGTACCTCAAGAAAAATACACTATTTTTTTAAAAGGCAAAAAAAAAAAATTATAAGCAAATTAAAGGCATAAAATTATTTTTTTAAAAAATACCTTCTTTATATTTTATAAACTTATGCTATCTTTTACTTACATCTTGACTTAAGGCCATGAAACTCCTCTGTAATTCTTTAGCAAACTCCAAGTTATTTGTGACTTCCTGGTACTTCGACACGGCATCCTAAAAGTATAGAGAGAAACCTCTACTGTTAACCAAAAAAATCCACAAAACTAATTTTCATATTAAAAATTGTGAGCCTAGGAATTCCCACCACCAGTTCACCCGTGTACCATCACTATAGTGTAATGGAATTCATTAGGCCATTTTTCTATCATTGTGAAAGTGTGATTATGTCTTACACATTGAGTCTAAAATAAAATCTTGTAGACCAAGACTTAAAGCTAATGCAAATACTTTTTATTTTAATAAATTTAAAATTTGAAAAAAAGTGAGCCTAAAAGTCTTTAATAGAATGCAACATCTTTACCAGTTGATCTTGATTAAGTCTTTCCCCTTTGTTCATTCGTTCCTGGTAATCATCAAGTTTACCCTATATTAGAAGAAAAAAATAGTTATAGTCCATGTTTAAATTATCAGCTTACCCAACCTAAAGTAACAAAACCCAAGAAATCCTCTTAAGTCTGTTTCAAATCTTGCACTGAAAACATTTGCAGATACTCTAGTTACTTAAAATAACTTCATTTAATAGTAAGCTAAAAGTGAATTTATGTGTCTGTTGAATAAAATACCAAATATTGTATTAAAACTATGACACAATAGTGTGTATTCTTTACGTTTCTCAAAAGATACACATTAGAGGGCTGAGGTATACTCTTCCAGTCCACTGGGTCAAGGTGACAATATGGTTAGGATTAGGAGCCCCGTTTCATATTACCTACAGGTAGTATATTAGTCAACAGCTTTGCTATTATGGTCTCACAAATAAAATTAAATGTGTGCACGTAAGGGTAGAAAATGAACCAACTTTTTTGCTAAGATGAAAACTTTGGAGGTTTCTCAAGCTACAACATTAGATAAGAAAAGATATTCAGATGTTGCAACAGTCACAAAGTTAATTGATTTAAGGAATCCAAGAATAGGAAATAAGCAAAAATCTAAACTAATGGGTGCGTGAGAAAAGCATTAAAAAACATTCACAGGCACAGAAACAAGTTTTAAAATAATACTTTTAAGTTGTTTTAGATCAAGTGATCCATTTTCTCTGAGCCAGAAAAATCAGTCAATTCACGTAACCACTTCACCCAGATTTAAAACCCTACTACAGTTCCATTATTATACTGGGGGTAAATAAAACCAAGTAAATCAAAACATTAAAGGCAAAGGCAAGTATCCAATTTTACTTTTACATGAACTATTTTAGTCAATAAGCCTCCAGGGCAAATGGAAAACTCAAACTACTGGCTAAAAAGTCAAGCTTTTACACTGACAGGGCATAACCCCAGGTGCAAAATATGTGCTCAACTGCTTCAAAAACCTCTGAAAAAAAATCACCAAAGGCAGTTTAGCCACTCTTTTAAAGGGATAAACCTTTTTTAAGAAGTAAAAAACTGAATGTTTTTAATGACTAAGAATATAATGGCATTAGTTAGAATTACTCAGAAATACACCAAATCACAGATTTTCTAGAAACATCTGGGATTTAATGTTAATAGAGTTAAAGTTATGAACTAGTTACTAGAAAGAAGAAAAACTGCTTTCCTTTTTATATTACATAATGTTCAGGCAAACTTACTGAATTACAAATTAATGTATAGTGAATGTTCCATATTATCCCCTCCTAAACCAGTTTTATATATCTAGCTTAGCTTTATCAGTGTCTTTAATGTCTAAAATATAAATGGCCAATCAAAATAGGCCAAAATAAATTCTTAAGAACCATTTGTGTGGTTTTTTTTCACATGTAAATATATTTCATATAGAAATATGAAATTATTTTTAATGTTAAAATGGTAACTGAGTAGAAGTATAGGTGGAATTATTTGCTTTGTCTGTATATCACTATATACAAACAGTATATGCTGCAGTATATAATCTGCAGTGAGCATAGTATTCATGATAAAAATGACTGATAGATTTCAGAATATTTAGAACTTTTACCTTAAGTAGCAAACAAATTATCCAATGGTACGAAAGCTCCAATTTTCTACAATGGCACATTAGTGTTCATCTTACTCTTAAATCTATGGTAGATTACATTTTAAATAATAGCTCTGTTAGCTGCAGTCCCACACATATATGTTAACCTTGGCATTCAAAAGAACTAGTCCAAGTGCCCTCCATTGTATGTGAGCTTCAACCAGTATAATGCAGTGGAAGTTATATTGTATGACTTCTATTGTGGAGTCACAAATGTAATACATCTCTGCCTTGGTTGTTGATACCTTTGTTTAGAGCCCTGAACCATCATTTAAGAGTGCAATGAACTGAGGTTGCCATGCTGTAAGGAAACCAAGGTTTATCAGAATTTCAGTTAACAACTCAGTTTTGAGAGTCATTTCTAACCCAGACACCAGTTATGTGGGTAAATAAGCCTTAATCTTCCCAATGAAGTAGGTATCACCACTGTGTGCCCTGTCCTAATCCTAACAGGCAAAATAGGTGGGCATAATAAAACAACATAAGTTTTCGAACAATCTGTCACATGTCAACAGCTGAAACGGTATTAAAAACAGAGGGAAGTTCCCTATGCCTGTTAAGCTGAATTAATGCAATTACAGAAATTCAATCAAAAAACATAATCAAATGAATTTACGATAAGTCTTTGTAAAACAGTGATTTCATCACAGCATTACACTGGCTCCTCTATAACTTTCTACACTATACCTATTCCCTGTCCTTACCCAAGTTTCAGCAAAACAAGATGCTGAATTTGTTGTCAGTCGCTAAGAAACATTCCTCATTTAAGAAAATATCAAATCTCACTCATCTCTAGTTTAGCTCAATGGTTCTCAAAGTATGATCCCTAAATCATAAACATTAGCATCAAGTTTTTTAAAAAACCTTTCATATTATTTGCATATGAACATCTTTAAGGAATTTAGCTTGACCTCCTTTTTTGGTCATTTATTTTTTAACTTTTAAGACATTAAAAGATAGTTAACTTTATAGGAACACAGATTTCCCGACACTACACCCAGACTACTCAATCAGAAATTCTGAAGGTAGGAACTATCAATCTTTTCTACCAAGCCCTCTAGGTGATTCTGATGTGTGCTCAGGTTTGAGAAACAGTCACTGAGGTCAAAGACAGTATAATTCCTTTGAAATACTAAGCCCAGCAGAATATACAAAATAAGAAATTATTCTAAATCAAATGATACAAATGTGGCCTGAGAAACCATTATTTGGCTGCCTCAATTTGGAAAAAGGATGCTTAAACACTGACTTTTAAACAACTCAGAATTTATTAGTCTTCTACACCAGCTTATATATTTAACCTATTTAAACAACAATCATGCAAGGTTTGAATAGTGAAAGGTCACTACAATCCATTCTTGAAACTTTTACTAAAACTTGTATTGTTAGCAATTTTAAACTTTACGATTCAACATAACAATGAACACCATAATTTGCAGAACTGTTAAATGACCACAGTCAGATGGTACTGTGAAATAATCACCCCAACAAGTACAGCCCAGTCCTACTTTATCTCCTGTTGTTACCTACAATAGTTAATACTATATGATTGACATCAATTTGGTCCATCAAATTTACAAAGGTTAAAGGACCCTTAAAAATAAAAAATAAAATAACAGTAATAAAGCCTAAGATAACAATAGTAGTAATAACCCACTTATACTTTATTTTACATCTCCAAGCCAAATAAATGACTTCTACTATATTTAAAGAACCTGTAGAAAGACAAATTAAAAAAAACAAAACAAAACAAAGACCAAGGTTATCTTTTCCTCTCAACTCCCTATTATCTTCAGTGGTCTTTTTTAATTAAGTATTTCTTTTTTCCAAGTTCCCAGTCTCTACATTTCTTCACCTAAAAACAGCAGTTCTGGCTTTGCCCACATAGTAGTAGGCAATTGACTCTGACTCCTATTCACCCATCACCAATTTAAATGAGAATTGCTAGTCAAATTCAAAGACAAAAAGGTAGTAAGAAACAAGTGGTTTCTTGATTTTTAAAAGTAGTATAGCATAATCTATAACAGCTACCTTGAAATGCTAGGAAAAAGGTTATAACAGTGGTGACGTTAAGTGGTAACAAACATTAAGAAGAGTTGTCAAAAAAAGAGAAAAGAAATGAGTATTCTACCAGGTCTTAGTAGACCAATTAATGTAAAAGCTGAATGAACACCTAAAAATAAAGCAGAACTTCTGAACACTAACCCAGAAGGAAGCTAAATTAGATGTCATCCAAGGTATCACACTGTAAGATAACTTTTCAAGTAGGTAAGTAACCTGCAGCTTAATCTTACAACTGTTGGAGTGAGATGAGGGGAGTGGGGCTTGCAAGAAATAAAAGACAGTCTTATAAAAGCCCTGGATTCCTTGTTTATGGTTTTACCTATGCATTTATGTGAATTAACAGAAATTCCTGAAGCTAGTAGAAAAGTAAAAATGTTAAAAGAGGTCCAGCATCACCTACTTTGAATTAGTCTTAGAATCTAAAGCTTGTCCATTTGAAAAACAAATGCTCACTGATACTCTTCAACAGGTGTCTGCTGAATTATTAATAGCTTTCCAGATTAGGATGAAATTGGTATAATGGAATAATTTATACATCCTTTGTGAACTTCACTGTAAAAAGATGTGAACTGTGGTTCATTTAAAATGGAGACCCAAGTCTGGGTATTTTCCTAAGGTTAAAGTGTACTTGAGTTTGTAGGGTTTACATAATAGTATTTAAGGAAAATGTAATGAAATTTCTAATGATTTACAATAGTTCAAAATCTAAGTATCATCTACACACTCCTCTGAAGACTGTTCACAAATCTTGCTCACTACACTTAGACTTTAAAGAGTCTTCTACCAACATAATGAGGTGTCAATGACTCAAAAATAAACTGCTCTGTGTAAAAAGCATTTTCCCTCTCATGGTTAATTTTATCAGGTTTTTGTTGTTGTAGCTTCAGATTTTTCTATGAAATAGTTGAGTCAAACTAGCAAACATGTGTTTAGTGTGTATATATGTGCAAGGCATGGTGTGATGTTATTAACAGCCTTACTACCAGCTTAGAAAAACACATAAGATATAAAAATATAAGGGGACAGAAAAATGTCAAAGAAGTGTAGAGACAGTAGGCAGCACAGGAAGTTAAACAAGCTACTTTAGTTGAGCATGATCAAGGATGCCTTCCCCTTTTCTTAGGTAATGAGTTCTGAGAACTCTACCCAATAAAAGTTTATCTGTTTTTACATTTACATTCTATCCAACAAAAGCATTGATACAGCAAGCAAGAGAAACAAAAAATGAACAAAACTAGGCAATTTACATTTGCAGTTTTGCTTCTATTTCTCCTCTGCTGCTCCTCATTCTTCTCTACTATATACATACCCACCAACATACACCAATTAGAAAAAGAAACTGTTACTAAAATTTATCCAAAAGCTTAAGAGTACCGTTAAGATGAAAAGGTTGACACACCTCCCACTTCTCTACTGTAATGCTTGCCCCAATTATTTTCTGCTATACTAAGCTGATAAATGTGTATCTGGGAGTTATCCAAGCAGAGACTTCAGCTAAAACTTTCTAAGTTCATTCATTTCATTACAACAATATAGAGATCCTAATGACACTGGGTACAATGAGACTTTACCTTTACTGCTATTCTCAGGTCCCCATTCCCTGGACAGCCTACAAACACGAATTTAATAAGACATTAATAAAGATCTAACATAAAAAAAAATGAAAAGCTCTTTTCTTTTGCACTGAGCATTTAAAAAGAGGAACACTAAAATTAAGGATTTGAAGTAAAAGACAAGATCAGTTTAAATATTACAACATTCACATTGCAGTGCATTTATATAAATTATAATTACCCATATATAACATTACAGGCCACCTTGCAATTCACCCTTTCCAACATGGGTCACTGTAAATAAGCATCTCAATTTTCCCTTCTGTAAACAGGACTAAATTCTAAGATGGCTTTCAGATCATGAAAAATCTTAAATTTCTTTAACAGAATGGGAATAAATTAAGGCCCGGGTCAAAGCTGATCCTTGTGCAAGTTATTTTTTGAAAGATGAAACAATACGAATCATCTAGCCCTAAATGTAAATTAAGAAATTACACAAACTTACAGCAGACTGTATGCTTAATCTCTTAAATCACACAAAATGTATCCTGATACAAATTATTACCACATAGAAATATCCTAAAGTAAAATAATGTATCCAGGTTAAAATATTCCATTCTTGAAACTTAGAATTCTCCACTCTTACCCCAGAAAAAGGTACCTGGATCAGCATAAAGAAATTCAGTTTTATCATTTGAAATTCAAATTTTAAATACTGGGAATACTCAGTCTTCCTCCCTCCATCTCTTTTCCTACACCTACACACACACACACACACACGCACACGCACGCACGCACACACACACACACACACACACACTACCCAAGCAGGCAGAGGGAAATAAATGAAATTTAGAATTTTTTTTTTCTGTGACAAGGTGAATGCAAAACAAAGTAATCTTGCCCTCTGCATTGCAGAGGAATAGTTCATGCATACTGAGGCTTACACATCAGAGATTTTAACTGTCAGGAAGAAACTTCAGATGTTAGTACTAAAACCAGATTCACTTACAAAATAGTGAAGAATGTCTTTCAATTGAAAATACTTAACACAGAAATCCTGGCACAACATTTAAATAGAAAATTCTAAGCAGAAGTACCACTGCAATGCTCTGGAGAGAAATGCTAGACTCTAACATAACAGTAGCAGCATCCTTTTGCATGTTAACTGCAAAGATAGAAAAAGCAAGACTTCAGGGGACAGTATGAAAAACAATACTCTGACTATAACTTCTGGTCACATATTTGGGTACGAAGCTGTCAAACTCTTCTACAAGATAATACTAGCTCATCTTTTACCTGACCAAGTCACCTGCATCTAAAACCATGTTTACAAAAAGACTAACAATTTTAAATGTCATCTTTTAAAACATCTTATATTCTCACCAAAAATGATCACATCTTATCATATCAAATGAGCTCTCCAGTTAAAAGTTACCCGTGGCTTCAAAATATTTTGTATAGTGCAAGGCCTAGTTCTAAACCAATAAACTAATAATGAAAACCAGATAATCATTCAATTCATTATACTTTTATCAGTTAAGACGTATAGTAGATGGACTTTTATACTTCATTCTTTTTTACTATAGCTTTATTTCTTCTACTTGTTAAAAACACGTGTAGTCATTATAAGCCCAAATATCAGAAACTACCAGGCCATTTAGTTGGATTACATAAATAAGATCGTATTTCATCAACATTAAACATGCATTCTCACTGAACAGATGCTTAGCTTTCCTCTAAAATCTAGATTTATGATAAAATTAAGTTGTTTTTTAAATAAAGTATAATAAAACTACTTCATTTGCTATGTCTAATAGAAGTGACACTACATATCAAGCAGTAACTTTTGTCAGGATACTTAACTTTAGAATCCATGGAAAAAGATATACTGTTTCAAAAGGCTCCAATATGAAATAAAGCTCAAACATTAAGTTGCTAAGTGCACTAAAATAAAAAGAAATTCAGTAATAAATAGTATCCTACTTTATTCCTTAAGGGTTTTAAAAACAGTTTTGAACTGATTGATAAAGTAAAATCATATTTTAGGTGTAGTAAAAATGCTCACTCACTACTGAATGCTAAATCCTTTCATACAGCAAATTATCTGTAGGAAAAAATAAATTTATATTAGAAATCGGACATGCTTAAATTAGGGGAAAATCTAAATGCCTCAAGATCCTCAAGAAAGTAAAACTTAAAGTTTTAATAGTAATTAAGTCACATAAGTACTGCCAACTATTTAATAAGGTCTCTCAATCTAAATTATCAAAAAGCCTCACTTAACTGTAATTTGACCTTTTAAATACTAATTTATAATCTGACCTTCCAAAAACAAGGAATGTATCTTACTTTGTCTCCACCATTACAAGGGAATTTTTCACTTACTAGCCTAGTTTATAATTTATGTAATAATAACTACGTCCTGCTCTATAAATGAAGTATGTAGCGTTTAGTAACATAAACCTATACACTCCAATCATGACTTGACATGGTGCAGGTTCTCATGGGAGTACACAAGCTATATATTTTTTCACTAGAATCTATCAGTCACCTAACAACTAAGCTGGCTACTTAGTGCCTGATTTTACGTTATCGCCTTTGAAGAATTATCTATCACTGACATACACATTACAACATCTGTGATTAAAATATTACACCATTAATACCATCTTCTGACTCCCAGAAGAAAATAGATTCCCTAGGAATTCTAAAAATCAAACCAATCAGTCAGACTGATAGGACTGTTTCCTACAGGAAGAGGCCTTAAGAAGTCTCAACTTTATTTAGGGCATCAAAAGCCTGTATCAGTTGGTAGAGAGGAAACTGGCCCGAGGCATGCTTGTTCTAGCACATATTTTGATGCAGCTACTTTCCCATTACTTTTGTTTATTTGATACTGTTAAATATATGATTTCAATTATTTAAAAATAAAAGTTTGTTTATCAAAATTAAGGATTAGTGCAGACTAGAAATCTACCAGTAGTACATCTCTCTCAATTTCAAAATCCATGAAATTCTAGTAACATCCCTAACTTTCAATACCGAAGATGAAAAGTATCTTTAAAGCTTATCTTTTAAAATTACCTCAAGATGTAAGAATCACAAAATAAGTAAAATATTGTTAGTTTTCTCAAAGTTATTGCCCACAACCCAAATTTCAGTCAAATGGTTACTATCTCAACGGAATCTTAGTAAACACTACTAGGTGGGTGGCTTCTAAATGACCTCCTCAAAATTCAGGATACCACAGTAAATATATCTTACTAGTCAAACACGCCTAAATATCAGTTATTTTTAAGGTAAAAAGCAAGTTTGCATAATTCTCACAGGTGTATTTACCCCATTTTTGGTAGCACTTTGTTTCTCCCCTTCCACCTCCAACCTTATTGCAAGTTTAATTATTCACTGCCCAGCCCTTTCTACACACACATACACACGCTCCCTATGAAATGAATCGGTACAGTGTCCTGTGCTGAATACATAAAGACTGACTTGAAGATAAACCTAGCAGAGTGACCTAGAACGGCTAAACACCGAATCTAAAAAATTGTGGGTGTGGCTCGGTATTTTTGGAGGGGAGGGGGCCGAGGGAGGCCAGTCCGGGCGGCTGCCTGGTCTCAGCCCTCCCCCTCTGCTTTCGCTTTGTGCTCACAATGCAGCTCCTGTAAAGCGCTTCCCTCTCCCCGCAGCCGCCGCCATGTTAGACGCGCTCTCCATGTGCACTGAGACCTAGCGATCCCCTCGGCCTACCCAGGACCCACCCCCCACAACGATCGCAATCGTGGCGGTCTCCCTCTCACTCCTCGTTAGAGTTCCTTAAGGTCGATAAGCCGCTGCAGAAAAGCTTCTTGGGATCGAGCTACATGTGAGGCTCAGGGGGGCACCTAGACAATTGAAACAAAGAAGGAAATGTAGAGGAGCCCATCAGCTGGGGGCGGAGAGTGGCGAACTGAGGACCTACTCAAAAGAGGGCTGCGATGGAGAAGCAATTCTGGTTTTAGATCCCAAATACACTTCTCTCCCGCGGGAGAAGAGGGGACATGCAAGAGAACTCCAGGACGCGATAACGGAGCAGACAAAACCCAGGGCCACAGGTCGCAGGCCGCTCCAACTCCACGAGGCATTCGGTTGAGCCCTGAGCCCCCCGCATCCGGACTTCATCACTGCTTCCTGCGGGCGCTGGCCAAAGAAACGGGGCTTTGCTAACGGAGAAAAGGGCAGCACCCAGCAAAATGTGGCGACAGGCAGCGCCTCCCTTCCTCACAGCTCACTCCCAAAGGCAAAAAGCCCGACCCCAGCGGGAGAAGAGCAGCAGAGGCCTGGGGGACGGCGCCGCGTCCGGGTCAGGTGACAAGCACCTCCCCTAGGGGCCCATTTTCTGGGCACTAAGCTCCCGTTTGCTGTGGAGACCGGGCGTGGGGGTAGGGTTGAGGGCAGCGGCAGCCATGGGGAGAGGGGCAGCTGCAAGGACTCAGACCTCCGCCCAAGCCCCCCACTTCCCCGTCAACTCCTGGCACCTTTTTCTTCTCCAGGTTTCGAAGTTTCTTGTCGATCACCCCGAGAATCTGCTTCATGGCCTCGGTTTGGACAGCGCCGGTGCCGGTTGCCGGGTGCTGAGAAGCAGGAGCAGCTGCCCCGGCCCCCGCCGCCGCCTCACTCCCGGAGGAACCCGACGGGGGTGGCGGTCCGGATGATTTGCTGCCGCTTCCGCTGTGGCTGGTGGCCGAGGGCATCTTTAGACCGCGAGCGGAGAGAAGAAAAAGCGGGAGGAAGGACAAGAGCGGCGAGTCAGGCGGCGGACGGGGCGAGACGCGGGACAAAACGCGC